TAAAATAAAAGATTGAAAGACTTTTCGTTTCTTTAAAATTCTTGTGCTCTTAGAATAGGTTGAAGACTACATAACTTCTACTACATCGTCGAATAGTTTCATCGTTTATCTAGTCGAATTTCAGGTGATTTGAGTATGAGCCAGAGTTCATTCTATTAAAAAATTTTATAAGCCTAATTTAACAACAAAATGAGGCAAATTATAAAGTACACGAAAATAAATTAAAAAACTAGATCGAAAAAGAGTGAAATTCGAGAAAATTTAACAAATGCGCAACGTTTCGCCAATTATATTTTACATGAGCTGTATAATTTCAAAAATAATTCGATTTCTTTGCCATCAATTAAAATGATAATTGAGAAAATATGAGCCTTCAAGAAAATTTTAAAAATATCTTTAAAATTAAGCTCTTAATATTTGGGGCTTATTTATGACTGAAAATATTTTAAATAAAATCTAGGAAGTACCAAAAAATTTATTTAAAAACTAAAAAAACTTTTAATTGAGAAAAGTGCTCAATTTAATTAAATTAAGAAAATAAAAACAGAATGTAGACTAAATGCCTAATTTTCTCTTTTATTTTAGATTTTACCGGAAACACATACCTTTAAATGTTACGTGAAATAAATAGTTTTAATAATCTTATAAAATAAAAATTTTAAAATTTTATTCTTTCAAATTATAATTTTGATTTAATAAAATTATAATTAAAGTGTGTTGCATTTTTAATTTAGGTCAAATTTATTATGTTTTAAGATTGAATTTCCGTTTAGTAAATTATAAAAAAAAAATTATTATTGTGATATAGGTTGTGAATTTAAAACGGAAATTGGGTCAATTTAAAATCGAAAATATTTATAAATACAGTAAAACCTCCATAGAGACGTCACCTTGTATCATCTGACCAAGATTTTAGTACTCTTGAAATTAGTCATGTTTTTTTATTGAAATATGAATTTTGAATAAGACTACGGCCATATTCCGTATGTTGATCACTAAAATTTTAAAAATTTCAATTGAAAATATCTTAAAAGAAAAGATGGTTTTAGTTGGCAACACTTTACCACAAAAATGGTGAAAAATTCAAATCTTGTGTGAATTTTGGTATACCCTTTAGATTAAAATAATTTTTAGCATTTGAAAAAAGAAACAATTATTTTTTTTATTTGACCATTATTCCCTATGGTGACCATTTTGTTTTGCGCTCTTGATTAGTCACAGCTTATGGAGTTTCTTATATTTAAGTAAATTTTTTCTTCTGGTGATATTTTGAATTTAATAAATTTGAATTTTAATTAAATTGTTTTACTAATTTTTGGTTTGCTCATACGATGACAGCATTGAAAATTACTGACATATCACGTCCATAATAATCAAAATTAGTTCATTTTTATAGAGTTTATATAAAAATTCAGTATAATACGATTTTTGAACGAGCTTTATGTTCTGAAATTAAATATCAATAGCTTTCTGAAATGGAAAGTTGCGAAAGGTTCTGAATTTATTCTTGTTTGTTTGAAGCTTGCACAAATTAGAAAATTTTTTGTTGCATTCCACCTTTCAAACTTTCAAGAGTTTCAATGTATTATAATATATTATTTGTGACGAATTTACTCATGACTCATTTTTTACCAACAAAATTTGTCATTAAGGATTGCAGCATTGAATATTGAAAAAAATTTAATCTACACAATATTAATTAATTTCGTGAATTTAAGAATTATTAAAATATTTGTGAAACAAATTAAAAACCAATAATAATAGTGTTGCACAAAACCGGGTTTTTAAAATAAAATTATTAAGGGAATATAACAGTTTTTCTTTTAAAATATTTTTATTCAATTTCTATTGTGAAAACTCTAATTAATTTTTCATTTCTTGGCTTCAATTATTTTTTTGATTTTTCATAATTTTATTAATTGATTTGTCTACTTCATTTCTCTTTCATAAATTTTAAATTTACTCTTGTTTTGTATTTAATTTTCTTTTAATTTTTTTAATAATAAATAACTAATTTTTATAATTAATTTAAACAATTCTTTTTACAAATTTTCATTCATTTCCTATATTTTATTTTACAAGTTTTTTTTTATTTTATTTATTATAATAATTTTTTTTTTAATTTTTAATTAATTTAAGACTAAGTATTTTTGTTTTAAATTTAAATTTAATTTTTTAAGACTAGAATTTGGTTTCTAAGACTTATTTTAAGGCAAGATACCGCCATGGACAGTTTATAGAAAAATTATAATTTAATTTTTTTTTTGTGTTTTTTTTTTTTTTGTTTTTTAATTTAATAATATTTTTTGTAATTAATAATTTTAAATATTAATTTTTTTGTTAAAGCATTACTAATTTTAAATAGGGATAGAATTTTAAATTCTTTTCTTATTTTGTTTTTTTTTTTGTTTTCATTTTTTGTTTTCAAATTCTCATATTAAACTTTGGGGGTATTAAGCCTTAAAATTTATTTATATATGTATACTATTTGGTACAATAAAATAAAAATAAAATTAATGCCCCTAATTTAATGCAATTCATATATAATATGTAGTATGAAATTTGAAATAAAATTTAATATTTAAATTAGAATGATGAAAATTTTTATTGAAAGAAATAAGTGGCTAACATAAAAGCATTGATTTTAGCAATAAATTTGTTGGAGTTTTGAAAAATTTTCTCGATTTTACTTTTAATTTTTTAATTTTCATCTTATTAGAAAGCAATTTTTAATTAATATTGATTTGATTAATGTCCCTTAACATTATTAATATAAAATAAAAATCTAGGCCTGTTTTACATTGGAATCTAGATTTTTGCAAAAGAATTATTTTTTATTTTCTAAGACGAAAATTTTCTTTTGAAAAAACATTTTTTGAATTATTTGGTTCTGTTTTAGAGTGAAAACAATTCTCTTTTTAATCATGTTAAAAAATGCAAGTTACAAAATTAAAATTATTATCATTATATTATACTCTAAACGTTTTTAGACCTAAATTACCTTGAACTCGCATGTTTACCCTTGCATTTATACCTACCTGCTCAATATTTATTTTTTCCCAATAAAATTTTCTCAGGGCGAATTTTTAGAAATTAATATTTTTTAAAGGTATTAAATATTTATAAATAACAATATTCTCTGACAATATTTAGAGAGAATGTAATAAATTTTTATTGCACTCTTTTAAAATTTATGAATTACTCACTGTTTATTATTTAAAACATCACGTTTATCATAGTTGCTATAAAATTGCTTTCTAAAGATAGAATTCCCGAATAATTTTTATTTCAGATTGAGTAGAATATAATGTTATAATTGATATAATTTGAAAGATGCGCAGCCAAAAATTATTTTTTTAAAAATTATTATTTTTTTTTTTAATTAAACTAATAATTTTTATATAATAAATTTAATTAATTTGGCAGTTGATTTAATGGCAGATTTTCAAAGAACATATACAACTTGTGTTTTTGATTACATAACAATAATACAGAAATTTAATCAAATTCTAGAAGATTTAATAAAGAAATAATCCAAATTTTATTAATAAAATTTTATTGAAACGAACAAAAAAGTTTCAAAAATGTAGTAAACACTACCCGAAGCTTCTATAACTGGGTTTATTTCTTTAATAACGAAAAAAAAAAGAGATTTAAAATAGAAAAATTTTGAACAAAAAAAAAACGTGGAATCAAATATCTACTAAATTTAATTTAATAACAAAGAAAATATTAAAATCATTTGAAAATAAATAAAAAGTATAAATAGGAAAGTGTCGAATCAGAAGATTATCAGAAGATTAGATGATTTAATTCAGAAAATTAAAGATGAAGTTCTTGTTTATAAATTAATATTAAAAATTTATCAAATTTAAATTACATTTAAATTTAAGAGCTCATGGAAACTCGATATTAAAAATAATAATTGTAAATTTACAATAAATGGCCTTTTGTGGATTCCATGAGCTTTAACATATACAGAGTGTTTCGCATAATGTGGCAAAAAATTTCAATAATGATTCTTTGATCAATTTCCAGCAAAAAATTATATGAATGCCGGGGGAGGAAATGTTTACATATATTATACTCATTTTCCCAGGAGTACCAGGTTATTTGTAGGTGGTACCAGATTATTTCTATACATAAATAAATACTTCTTGTTTCGGAACCGAGCAGTATATAGTAAACACCGGGAGCTTGTTTTACAGTCAATAGATTTCTCTTTATTTTTAGTCTTCCAATCGATTTGATTTTGAGCCATAGTTTTCGAAAATTTGAAATTGCTTAAAAATTAACTCTAAAAATTAAACCCATATAACATTTAATTAAAATTATTTGCCACCTTATTGCAAAACACCCTATTATATAGGCAGTAATTTAATAAATAACAATAATCTTGTTAAAAATTAACAAAAATTTAATTAAATTCCATTTTATAATATTGTGTGTAATATGTCTATATAAAAGTTTTCAATTAAAATATTTTAAAAATATTGAAATAAAAATTTTTATTTAATAAAATGGTGGAGAAATAAATGCAATATAATAAATTATTTATAAGTAATTATCTCATTCATTAATATTATTATTTATAGAAAAAATTGCTTTCTTTCAGTTTAATTACAATTTATTAATATATATATAAAAAAAATATTAATGGGCAAAATTATTTTAATCAATAGATCAATACAAAGTTTATTTAATTAAAAGTTTTTTATATTAAATTTTTTTTTTTCTCTAAAAAGTTAACAATTTTATAAAAAGAAATTTTTTTTTTTTGGTTTTTGTGTTTCAGTTTTGTTGTCTTCATTTAATTGAATTTAATTCATTGCATTTTATAATTATAGTTTAAATTTTTTTTTTTATAATAGTTCATATTTTTTTTGTTTTTTGACTTAAAAATAATTCAATTTTCATAATAACTTGTTTTTTTTTCATTCTTAAATAAAATTTTTGAATTTTTAGTTTATTATTCTATATAGTTCTTGTTTTTTTTTTCATATAATAGTTTTTAACTTTAAAAATTATAATTTAAGAAAATTAATATAAATAATTTTTATAATTTAATAAAAATAATTTTTTTTGTCGAAATTTAAGAGCAATTAAATTTAATTTTTTTCACTATATATTTTTTTTTTTGTTTTTTTACATTAATCCTTTCACACACCATATGTTTTTATCATTATATCATCATTATTATAATTATATATATTTATAATTAAATTTAATATTATATAGATTACAGCATCATCATCATCATTTGTATTATAATAATTATTAATAATCAGTAACATCATTATCCAGCAAAATAAGTAACATAATAATTATTAATATTAATATTATTAGTAATTGCATTTGAAATAGCAGCATATCACACAGTAGTTTCCCGATCGACTTGAATATATTCGACCGGTTGAAGCCCGTGTCAGGATGCTGGATCAATATATAATGGATCCTTTTTAAATGTATCCTTTTTCATAGTACCATTTAAAACAGTTTTTTGATTAACAGATTTTTTTCGTTTTCTCATTAAACCAAATATACAAAATAGTATACATGCTGTTATTGCTGCTGCAATACAACCTAATGCAGCAAATATACCACCAGATAATTCTAATAATTTTCTTGCTGTACCACATTCTTCTTCAGATTCATCAAATCCTGATGGACAATTTGGTATACCTATATATAATTTGATTATATATAAAGATTAAAAAGAAATAAATTTAAAATAAATATTATATTATATAATGTAATTAATGTGGAAAAGAAGTGAAAAGGAAAAAAAAAAAAATAAAATAACAAAAAAAAAAAAAAGAGATTTTTTTTTTGTTCCCCGCATTTAAAATATAAAAATTTAAAACAATATTTAAGTGATTTAAGGTGACCAAATCATTTAATTAATAAAATTGGGTCAAACCAATTATTTGCATTTTAGTACTTTTCCCTTCAACAACTGAAAACACTGCTTGTAAATACAGTCTATGTATTACCACACTATTAAAATTATTTTCATTCATATACAAAACTATTTCTAGGATTGCATATATTTAGGATGATGCATACATGAAGTCTTTGAAATAAAGCAAAAATTAATATAAAGAGGGGTTAACATAATGCTCGATTTTAAGGGTTAATTGTGTGAGTTAAGAAAAATAATTATATTTTTTAATGTCATGGAATTTACCGTTAGCTTTTTACGTTTATAGAAATTTGAAAAAACTTGTGGTTTCGGAAATATAAGGCGTCAAAAATTCAAATTTTACAAATTTCAAGAGGCGATAAGTTGAGAGGGGGTGGAGATGTAAAAAAATTTTCTTCTACCAAAACTATTTATTAGTGTCTAAAAGCTGCTAAAATTTTAAGCTAATACAACCTGGGGTCTAGAAGAAAAACGACCTTAAAAAATTTGTAAAAAGCGTATTTTAGGTAACGGTAAATTTTAACAGCCATTTTATTTTTTTAAAGTTTAACTATAATATGCTACGATAGGTGAAGCAAGCCACTGCCTTTCTGCGTTTGCAAAATTTGAATAATGCTTATGGTTTCATTGCAATAAATAGTTAAAAAATTGAATTTTTAGGGTTTTGGATGGTTGAAATAAGTTTCTAGTAAAGATCTATGTACATATAAAATTTCAAGTTTCTATCTTCAAGGGTGTAGAAGTTTTGTAAACATGTCCACGGACGGACGAACGGACAGAGTGAAACTAATAAGCACATTTTTTCCAAAAGTTATTGGCAAAAAACCGAATCAAGAAATCTAGATAAATACTGAAAACTTCATATTTAAATACTCGTTATTGCATACTTTGAAAACATAGCTTATAAACTATCCTCCAAACAATTATTTTGAAATTTTAGAAATTCCTTTTGTTTTGAAGGATTGTGAGGCATTTTTCAATAGGAGGAATGAATGATAGCCTATTTATTTACATTTTCAATTAAAAATTGTAGGTAATATTCAGATGTGATGATAAAATTTTCTAATTTTATGGCTCAATCAGGGTATGCAATTTTTGATTTTGTAATTACACTGCTTGATTGTAAAATCGAGGCACTCACATTTAAGCAACTGCTTCAATTCAAATCGATTGCGCTAACTATTAAAATTGCAATTAGTTTGCAAATCTTTGCAAACAGTTTGATTGCTTAATTGTATGGAATCATACAATTGCATGTATGCGCACAAGAATATAAACCTATAGAATACAAATAAACTATCAAACAGTTCCAAAACCATAAAAATTGCATGGCTGCCTGAGCCTACACTTATTGTTCAAATTTGAAATTTAATAAAGAATGGTTTTCCTAAATTAGCAATTTTTTGAGTAAAATCATTATTCCATTTTTAACGTAATTATTAACGTAAGGTTTATGAAAAAATGTAACTAAAACTAAGAAATTAAAATATCTTTACAAATTATGAAACAAATATTTTGCTCCCTCAGAAATCCTGAGCTTTTAAATTTCAAATTTAAAGCATTTTGGTCGCTTTAATAAATTAAAATAAAGAAGTTGGGTAGCTATTTATGTCGGTATAGAATAAATCGAAAATAATAAAAATCGAAAGAGAAACAAGAAAGGAAAGGGTATCGTACTCGTAAAAAATTTTTGAATTCATCAAACACACATACAAGTACCCTACATCGATATTACATTAAATTGAATTAATAACCCGAAATTTGTGTTTTGTTTTTAAAAAAATTGTTACATAAAAATTATTATGGAAACGTGTAAAAAAACAAGAGAAAAAAAAAAGAAACTAAAATGGCCAGCAAGATACGAAAAACAGGGTAAAGAATAAATCTTAATATTTAATGAAGCATAAACCCTAATCTTGAATAAAATTAAAAAAAAAAAAAATTGACGAAAAATATTTTACGCGAGCAAAGAATACCTAATGATTTATATTTTATTTCTATCTGACGTTATAGTCTTTATAGTAGGATAAATATTTCACCAGGTGAATGATTAAAGGTAAGCAACTTCAGTATATTATATGTACATATATATACCTCTTGAATTAAGGATATAAAAAAGTAAAATAAGAAACAAGTAAAACAAAAAATTTAATTTGAAAAATTTTGAAATTTTCTTCAATTTCATGATGGTTTTTTGTACACACATTAATTCTATATAAAGTGCTGTCGAGGTTCGTATACAGGGAGACTCAATAATATCAGTGACATAACATACACCAACATTTTGGACAACAAAAATGAGTACAATTTTTGTTCAGTAGTAGATGTCAAATCTCAATGATTTCTGAGGTACAAGGATTTTAAAGAATTTTCACGAAATTTTTATTTTCCCAAGTTGTTTTGCTTATTTTCAGAATCTTCGTGAAGATTCTTTAAAATTCCTGTACTTTGGAAATCGTCGAGATTTCACATCCAGCTTTGAACAAAAATTTTACTTATATTTGATGCCCTACAATTTTAAATGGTATGTGTTGTCACTGATTACTGAATCATCGCGTATATGCAAATTTTTAGGTACACATACACTATCTTTACTGTACTGTAAGTATTATAAATTTAGAATTTTTTTTTGAAATCAAGTACATTTCAGAAATTATGAAATTTTTCATTAATATTTAATTATATTTACAATACACATACATACATACTAACGTATGTAATGTAATCAGATTATTCAGAATAAGTATATGTATAAATATTTGCCGTTGACCCCAACATAATTTACGTTCATAACTTTATAAAATTTTACGTGACAATATTCTTTTTTTAACATCAATATGACAGCTTTGATGGGTTACTGCTATATTTAGAATTTAATTTCTGGATTTTATGATTTTTCATTACGGTATATATGATGAGCTTGATGTATATGCGCAGTTTTCTTAATATTTTTGAATAATTTTCTCGAAGAGAAAAATATTTTCATATCCTTAGAAATTTCATTTGAAAATAATAAATTTTTAGGAAAAGGTATAGACGGAAATTTAAAAGTAAAATCAAAAATTTGATTATTATTTTTTATATTTTTATACGTAAAAGAATAATGTAAATTTTTCTTTATTAAAAACTAATCATATTGAATTTCCATATAGATGGTTATGGGTTTTAGAGTTTGCTGTGTGAGGTTTTGGTTTTTACCATTGATTTTTTACTTCCTTTTAATGTTCTGTATATTTTTAATGTAGGTACTTCCTAATTTTCCTAAAGGAATTTGAAATTTTGCAATTATGCAATTTTTAATAAAATGTGAATTGAATATGATTTACAGATTAGTTTATTGACCTTATGCAGTATTTGGTTTCTTCCATTACGTATATGGATTATTAGAATTTAATATAAATGGAATATAAGTTTAATATTGGAGGAAAAATATTGATAAAATGAGATTAAATATTAAAGAAAATATTTGGATTGCTTATGCATGTCAATATTGATTTTGAGTTCTTCTGCGGTACGCTCTCTTAACATTTTATATTTAATTTAGTATAGGAAATTAAAATAAATAGAAATATGAAACATTATGCTTTTCAAAGCTACGCGTGTAGAGCTGAAGAGCTGTAGGCGTTCGAGCCTCACTCTAATTTTTCTCTAAGGTACTCTAATTTTCAAGTGGTTAATTTTCGAGGAGTTCCTCTTGCAGTTATAAAAGGTTAAGGTGGTACAATAAATTCACTTATAATGCAAGTTTTTTAAAAATTTTCACTTAATATAGTTGAATCAAATAAATGGTTTGTAAAGTAGTACAAATTTTACAAATTTCGAGAAGCGATAACTTGCACGTGGTTGTCTTAAAAACTACTAAAACTTCAAACTTTTAAAAATTACCGTCTAAAAACAAACGATATAAAAACTTTGAAAAAATTTCAAATTTCTATCTTAAAGACCAAAGAACGAACACACAGATATAAACTAATTAGCATTATTTTTCCATTTATTTTTTGGGAAAAGTCCTAGAAATCCTTATTTATTCTGATTTGCTTGAAATTTCTACTTTACATTCAGGTTATTTCTGATTTCCATCAATAAATCTACTATTTTCAATGCGTCTATAACATTCTCGAACTCAACCCTTCAAAATAATCATCTCACAAAATTATGTTTTTCAATATGTAATTTAACATGTTTGTTAATAATTCAACATAAACAAAAAGGATTACAATTTAACAATTTTCTACATTAACGTTAACCTATTTTAACCTAATGAAAACAAATACGTGAAATCGAAACGTTTAGTGTTGCATTAATTACACCCCTTTACGAAACACTAAAATAGGTACATTAAATCAAAGTCGACATTTAAAAATACTCTCCCTTTCTTGTCCAATGGAACTTGTCAAATTTAATATTATAATTTTATGATATCTTCCTTACACAATACATTCACTTTATTCGATTCCATACCATAAAGTTAAGGGTTATATAAGAAGAAAAAAAAATCTTTTCAACTTTCTGAACTTTATATATAAAAGTATATAACCGAAAAAAATATAAATACCTATGTTGGAATTCAAATAATAAAAAAAAAATATCGAATAGAAGAGCAGAAAAAATGGTGTAAATTACAAGTTCAAGAAATCTTATTACCTCCTCTTGTTCATTCTGTTTGTATAAAAATTACATTTTTACTTTCGTTTTGCTAATAAAATATAATAGAATGAGAATTCTTTAAATAGTATTTTATTTCTATATACCTAGATGG